TTATAGAGATAAATTTCTAGATTTTGAGCAGGCATCGCAACTTATTATAATATGTTATTAGATTATAAATCGAAATATTTGTAATTATTTTGAATAAATATTGCCGGCACTCATAAATAAAAAATATATATCTTATTAAAATAAATAAGAAATTAATTCGATATTCTATAAATTAATAAGTTTTTATCTCGATCGATATCTCTAAGAAAGATATATTTTTAAGAAAAAATATTTAAGGTTTTCCTAATATTCATTTCTAAATAAAGATCATTATTTATTTATAATGAAGATAAAATGATATGTATATATATATATATATTTAGAAGATTTATTATTATTATTTATTTTTGTATATTTATTTTATATTGATTTAAAAAAAAAATTATTATATGAATTTTTTTAAATGATATTTCAGTTCAGAAGGCTAATTTCGATTCATTCCCAACGCCGTGCGATAGCAATGGCATATATAAGTTTGCTTTGATTTCTTATTTGCATACTAAATAAATCATCGATGAATCTGTGTTAGAGTTTCAGTATTTTCTGTTCGACACTTTTCATAAATATCTATGTACATATATATATATACATATACACGCTCCGTCCTTAAAGATTAGAAATTTGTCATTTTTTGCCAACCAGGTTTCTTATGGCACAGATCAGCTCGTCTGCCTGCCGAATTTCCCAGAAACCTTGGCGGTGTCGGTCGTGGGGCGAAGCCAGTACCATACAGTGCCGCTCTTGTTACTCTCTTGCGTCGTACTAGCACCTGGTAGGACCTTGAAATATCTGTCTTTGGAAATGGTAGATCCTGAGTCTAGACTGAATTGAACATCAGAAAAGGCAACGCCAAATGAGCGATAATCGCAAGCTTTCGGGTTTCTGGTGTTCTTGAGCTAAGTTTCGGACTGTCATGCAGATCAAGTGGGCTTGTAGGCTTTTCGTAAAGGTTCGTAGGGGTGTCTTCCTTCGAAGAGCACTCTCCTTCGATGGAGGTCACAACGAAAGCAGCACATGATGGATGTCTGCCACTGACTGCCTATGGCGACAGGTTGATGACTTGTTATAGACAGCTTTAGGAGCCTGTGTAAGTTCAATACCTTTGCAGAACAATGCAAATTACGCAACGTGTCGTATGACTATATCGTATATTTCTGATTTGAGGATATCGCGGCTCATCGCTTGATCCGTGGTACTCGAGTCTATAGACCTTACTTGGGTGTCGCTCTGATTGGGCTGGACACTATCGGAGTTCGTAACCTCATGATGCAAGTAAAACGGGAGGAGCGCAAGTTTTCCGTTGAACGCAATAGACTCAATAGACAAATGCCTTTCTACAGCAAGCTGGCGACACGACTAACGTGGTGCACGATTGGGTAGCTCGGATATCGAAGTAAGAAGGAGTACCCGAACAGCATCAGTCGCGTCCCATGGCACTGCCGTGAGAATGAAATTGATATGTTGCTGGCTGCGATATGGACTATGGAAGCAGAGGACTGCAAGCCACACGCTTTGCACTGAAGAGCCAGCTTCTTCATTGAACAAGCTGGGAATCTTCATCAACACCCAGACCTGCTGGAGATCTGTCAGTACCAGAGTCAAGAGGTTCGAGGTTCTTGCGTACAATGCTTTCCCTGCCTTGTCGAATACATGCATGTCGGCAGCCTTGATAGCCTTTCAATGTCTTGTAAGTTTCTCGACCCCCCATGTTCACCGAAGCATGCACAGTTGTCCACAGGATATCTATTAAGATTCCTGGGACATAGCTGTCTTGCATGCCAGCCAGATTTCACCGGTCTGACAGATTTGGGAGCAGGGCTTGGAGAATCCAAATGAAAGCTCGGTGTTTCTTGGCCTTGGTTCATGCTGCTCAAGAAGCTCATTGCTACTATTACTGTTATTACAAGTATGTATTCTCATCGCTATGTATATGTTGTTCCTATTATGATTATTATTAGTATCATTATTAGTATTACCTATTACTACTATTATTATTTATTACTGACTATAACCCGAAAGCAGCGAAGCGCTGTTCGTGCAAGGTCGGGTCACTCTTCAAGAGCAAACTCCCTGCATTGCAGGGGCACTGCGCAAGACCTCCTAACTCCTGGAAAAAAGCCCACACCTCTCGCAAAAAAAAAGCATGCAGCCTGAGGCAGCTTGCAGATCACACTTTCAAGGCACCCTTAAATACCCTCTTTCAACCTCAGTAAACCCCTGACAGTGTGCACTGCATCTCCTAGCGAAGAAAAGCCACCCATCGGAGACCGCAACCTTGACTCAAATAATATACCCTGAGGCTCCAAGTATACAAATAGTACCTACTTTGGGGTCTAAAGTCTATAAATAGTACCTACTTTGGGTTATTTGGAGCCCTAGGGATAGGGGCCTTAAACATCGGTTTAAGGCTTAGGCTGTTTAGGTTTTGCTGCACAAAGCGTAGGGCTTAGGGTTTGGGGAATCATACGCGGACTATAAGTACCAAGTGCTACCTATTCAGACACCTATACTAAACCCTAAACCCTAAACCCTAAACCCTAAACTATAGTTCCTCAGACGTATTGCGCACATAAGCTTCGGCAAACCCCGAGCTCTGAATTCAGGGTTTAGGGTCTAGGGTTTAGGGTTTAGGGTTCTGAATGCGTCTTACGGTCTCTGCTGCGTCTCCTTGAGAATTCAAGATTTTGATAGGCAAAAGCTGCCAAAAGGAGCCACCAGGTTTTGCTTTGGGGTATATGGCGAAACTCTCATGGAAGAATCCTTGCTGAGAAGCGTGGTCATCCGTGTTGTAATGAGGCTGTTTCAGGCTCCTGTTGGCCCGAGCAGCTACCCCACGCAAAAGGATATGGAGATCTTGTCATAGACTGTGCTCCTAGAATCTCCTAGCGTGAGGTGTTCACTCGTCCACGGAGCCAAGCGCCCCTTGCGGTTGGAAAGTCTGTGCATAGGCCATCAAAGAAACACCTCTGCGCAGCAAAGCTCTACCACGTCGGAGGCCGTGAGTTTTTGAATTACAGCCGCGTCGTGACTGTGTGCGTGTCCGAGTCTGCTGTGCCCACGTCACTGACGGAAGCATAAGTAGGATCCGCCAATGCAGAGAGGACGTAGTCGGGAGCTCCCATCTCAACGGCCAAGTCCGCTGCAGTCCGCCCACGTGCATTTCGCAGATCTGTTCGGGCTCCTGCTGCAAGCAGGGCCTTGGTCGCCTCGAAGGATGTCGTTATGATGCTGCCCATGAGAGGGGTGGCGCTGTAGTGATGGTATGCATAAGCACTCAGCTTCGATTCACTCCATCGGTGTCGCAAACTGAGGCACCCGAACCAAATGCCTAGTGGGCTCAAAAACGGCGTTGCTAACTGGTGGTTGACATCCGCTTTCATCGTGATCAAAGCCGACATCACCTCTGCAGTTCCCGCTCCGTGGAGGAGGGCATCGTGAACGGAAAGGTGGACTTCGTGACTTGGCGTCAGAGGCAGCAGTACCTTCATGGCTTCGACGGAACCTGCAAGAGCTCCCACTCGGAAGGCGGTAGCATCCAGGATATTCCGGCAAATCGGATCTACGCCAGCCGAAAGCAATGCATCAATGCCATCCACGTTGTTGGCAAAGGCGGCCCAATGAAGCGCCGTCGCTCCGTAGCGATCCAGTAACCTTAAATCTGCCCGACAGCCTAAGAGGACGTGGAGAGCATCGTTGTTCGAAAGGAAGGCGCACATGTGGATCAAGTGAGCGTTCTGTCCGAATGTGCTCGATGGCTGTGTATTCTCGATGCGATCATCTACATTTGCACGCATCTCTAGAAGTGCCATCATCAACAACGGACTGCCATCCAGAGCAGCAAAGCAGACTGGAGTCCAGCCAGCAGCTGTTCGCTCAGAGACGGACTGAAAACCATTCTGGAGCAGAAAGCTTTCTGCGGCGAACGCAGCCGGGTCTTGCGTGCTTGACTGAACCGCCGGCACTAGGTCATCAATTGGGTTGAGGGGGAGACCCCTGTAGTGGACACGCTGCAGGTTCAGCATTAGCCGGTAGTTGTGAACCTCGCCCTGCAGCAGATATGAGTGCAGCTTCCTGCGCACCATGCCTTGTAAAACCGGCGCTATCATTTGCCGATCTGACTCCACCGTAAAATGCCCTAGTCCTACAGGGGCCTTCTCCCGGCCGAAAGGTGCCACTTCCTCGTGGCGAGTAGCACTCTTGAACTCTACCGCGAAGCATTCATCAGCCCTTGTCGTGAGCTCTTGCGCCATGCGCTCTAGCCGGCACCACCCTCGGCTTTCCCAACTGCGGCGGTTCAGAGTGAACTCCTGCTCTGTGTGCTGCACGGGGGGGCAGAGGATGATGAAGAACTGGCACCTGTCCACGTAAGCCGGAATGCTTCCTGGGCTTTGAAGTAACCAGGGAGAGAAAAGTATAGACTTTTAATTCATAATGGTCCCTGTAAGGGACAGGTCCCCAAAAAAGTATTAAAGTATGGTACTCCAAAGCCCAGCTACGGATGGCCAACTTACGCGGCTGTTCGGCTGAGGCAGACTGCGGGCAGGAGAAGAAGTCGTACCAGACGAAGAGCTTCTTGGCTGACCTTCTTATGCAGAGCAGTTCCCTAAAGTAGGGTCCCTTTTAGGGTCCCTGTTATAAGGGAAAGTATAAGGTCCATTTTAAGGTCCGTGTTATAAGGGTGCCTTACTGTTTTGGAGGCCTGAAAATGGACCCTAAATTAGAGAATTAGGATTATATCTGCTGGTGCCGGGTGCCAACTCGAGCCTCTTGTACCTACAGACACAAGGCAGGTGGTGCATTTTGCGTTCAAGAGCCATGCCTTTTTGCACACTCCCAAACAGCCAGAAGTAATTCATTCGTGCTTTAAGTCTGCGAAACTAGCCAAACCACGTAATTAACACCCACCCTTTCCGAATCACAACCACACTCAAAAACATGTGCGCGGGGGTGCTTGGTCGCTTTCTGAGTACCTAAACCTCCAAAAGTAGGTAAAATAATGGCCCAAAACCTATAAAAGGCTATTATTTTACATACTTTGGGGGTCCAGGTATGGGTCTTACAACCCAGAACCAAGACACTGCCTGAGCAGCACTGGGCATCTCCCTAATACCCTAAACCCTGAGCCCAAAGGCCCTACACCCTAAGCTCAAAATCCCCTAAGCCGCGTAAGATCAGACATGGGGCATCTGATCGGCCGACACATTGCCTCGCCCCCCGGTGTAAAGTTCGAAGCTGATGTTTCCGGATATGGAGGAAGCCCCCGACCTGGATTTAGGGTTTAGGGTTTA